GCTGAGGAAGGAAACAGTTAAACTGCAGAGTTAAACAATTTCCAAAGTCTGGCCACTCTGCAATCTCAGAATCTCTCTGTTTAATGACTTTAATTCAGGCCCAGGCAACCCATCAACTCCACCAAGACTCACATGAAAGAAGGAAAGAGCAGATGCAAGCTGGAAAATTTTGTCATTAAAATAGTTTTTTCATTGACATGAGGACTAGACCTATGTATGGGGTAAAGTGAAATTTCAGCACATGTACACACTATATGATAACCAAGAGTAATCAAGGTATCTGGCACCTCAAACATTTACATTTCTTTGTGTTAGGAACAAAGTCCTCTCATGCAATTATTTGAAATATACAGTAAATCAATTATCATAACCACTCTACTGTGCTGCAGACCTCTGGAATTTACTGGAATCTTGCATCCTTAGTTAAGCTCTCCCTGCTCTGCTGCTCCCCGCACCCTTCCCAGCTGCTGGTCACCTTAGTTCTGCTTTTTATTTCTATGAGATCAATTTTTAATCTCAAATCCACCTCCAAATCTAAAGTAAGAAAGCTTCTCAAGACTGTCAGACATCCAGTAACATTCTGTAAACATGATCAATACATAGTCTCTCGATCAGAAACTGATAGTCACACATGGTTCCTCTAAGGCTGGCTATGTACAGATCAGGAACTTCCAGCAGTGCCAGCCAGTGGTGGTCCACTCGTGTCCACAAGAAGTTTGTACCTCTTTAATGATTGTATATGCTCTCATCCTTACATCTTTTTTGCTATCACAATTTCTGAACTCAAAATTTACCTCTATTTTAGTGAACAAATTTAAGTCAAGGGTCTGGATGGAAGGAGGTCCTGGGTTAAAACCAAAACAGCACAAGAATGAGGAAAGTAAGTGATAACCAAATGGTGGAGACTACTCTTCACTCTTGCTGAGAGGATGAAGGCACTGAATTCTTCATGCAGCAACAGAAATTAGTGTGTTGTTATTGATGTTGACACATACACACATAAACACCTTTTGGAAGACGGTAGGGTAGCCTTGGACATTTATAATTAGATTTGTGATCACTTCATGAAGATAACAGAATAGGATGCCAGAGTATCATATTCCACTACTGACTTCCTTGGATACTTTTAAGATCATGTTTGTGGATAAAATTTACCAATTTTTTGATAACTAGTAGAAAGAGATTTTTTCCCTTCACGCCATTGCACTAATTTCATAAACCTGGTGAGGTAAATCTCTTTAATTAAGTTTTTAGTTACATTTTTTGCATATGCTATTGGAATAAATTTCTCTAGTTTTAGAATTTCTGAAACTTTGCATGACTGCAGTTTCTTTGTGGCTGTCCTTTCTTCCTGCTTTCTTGTTAAGTTCTTGCAATGAGGAATAGAAGCCTTACGAGAAGATAGGTGTGTTATCTCTTGTTACAAACTCAGGAAAATCTTGTATATCATTTAAGTGGTTTTATAGATACCATCAAGGAAATTATGCAAGATTTAATCAAAATATATTTAAACATTTAAGTTTCTAAAGTGCATTATAGTAAAAGATACATTGTTGTATTTTACAGAGAAAAACAATAAACAATGATACAAAATTTCAAAACAAGATAATAGGAGATTAGCAATGGTTAATATGTTGTGTATTGTTATCTTCAAAGTAGTTGCTCAGATTACAAATATAGGCATGGAAAATCAATCAAACAATACAAGCACAAGTTGTTCTTTTCAGTTAACTAACATAACTTAGTAGTATAATTATCTTCTCTATCTTTTATATATTTTTTCTTTTCTCTTCCTTTTCTCTTTACCCTATCCCAGCTCTTTCCCTTTGAGCAATTTCTTCCCCTTCTACTTTCACAGTATATATCATACGCTTTGGATTTTAGTTACTCTTTCAGTTTTAACAATAGGGAAACAATACAATGTTTACATATGCAAGTTTGATTTATCTCACTTATTAATATCCATTTGCCTATAAAAGTCTCGAGTTTATCCTTCTTTATAGCTGACTAGTACTCCACTGTACAGAAATACATCTTTTTTATTCCTCAGTTGATGGACATTTGAGTTGTTTCCAAGATTTAGTAATTACAAATTTTGCTGATATAGACATGGGTACACATATATGACAGTGGTATGGCATTTTTACTTCTTTCTAGAAAATGCCTAGAAGGGCAATAGCTGAGTCAAAGGAAACACTAACCCTAGTTTGTTGAAGAAATGCCACACTAATTTCCTACAGTCCCACCAACAGTGGAAAAGACTTCCTTTTTCCCCTCAGTCATGCCAGCATTTGTTGTTGGTTGACTTCTTAATCCTGGCCATTCTTTCTGGGGTGAGGCAGAACTTCAGCATTGTTTTAATTTGCATCTCTCAAGTGACCAGTAATGTTGATTATTTTTTATATATTTTCCATTTGTATTTCATCATCTGAGAAGTGTGTGAAATTCATCCCAGATGCCCAATTTTGGATTGGGTCTTTGAATTTTGGGGGCCTGAGTTTTTCCATTCTTTATATGTTCTAAACAGCTGTCCTTTATCTGAAGGACAGTTGGTTAAAATTTTTCCCACTCTATGGGTTTTCTTTTCACTTTTTTGGTGATTTCTTTTGATGTGCAAAAACTTTTTAATAAGATGAGATCCCAGTTGTTTATTCTTTCAAGTACTTCTCATGCAGTCTGGGGTTTGCTCATGAACCCTCTGCCTTTCCTTATGTCTTCAAGATTTCTACCAACTCTCTCTTCCAGTAGATTCAGTGTTTCTGTTTTAATATGTAAATCTTTAATCCATTTTGACTTTAGTTTAGTGCATGTCGATAGACACAGGTCTAGTAGACTTCGACATTGAGGAAGCCAGTTTTTCCAGCACCATTTATTAAAGAGGCCATCTGTCTACCACTGAACATTTGGCCTCTTTGTCAAAGATAAGGTGCCTGAGTGTCTTTATAGTTGTGTCTGCCTCTTCTAAGCATTGATCCTCAGGTCTGATTTTTTGCCAGTACCATGATGATTTTATCACAATAGTTTTGCAGTATAATTTCAAATCATGAATTGTGATGCCTCCTGCCTTGCCTTTGTTGTCAGGATTGCCTTTGCTATTCTAGGTCTCTTATGTTTCCAAATGAATTTTAGGAATGTTTTCTCTAGATCTGTGAGGTATGCTAATGGCATTTTGATTAGGATTTCATTAAATCTATATAAGAGTTTTGGGAGCATGACCATTTTCACTATGTTGTTTCTTCCTGTGCATGTGCAAGGAATATCTTTCCATTTTCTGATATTCTCTTCAATCTCCTTTTTCAGAGTAGTTTAATTCCAACATACACATCTTTTACTTCGTTTGTTAGATTGGATCCTAAGTACTTCAATTTTGGGGTGCTATTATGAAGTATGTGGTTTTCCTAATTTCTCTCTTATTGAATTTGTTGTTTGTGTACAAGAATGTTATTGATTTTGAGTGCTGACTTTATATCAATCTCTGCTACTGAATTTGCTTATTAAATCTAGAAGTCTTTTGGTAGAATTTTTTGGGGTCTTCTATGTGGTATATCATGTCACCTGCAAATACTGATAATTTAACTTCTTCCTTTCCTGTTCTTATTCTTTTTATTTCTATCTCTGTTGTCTAATTGCTCTGGCTAATGTTTCCAGAACTATATTGAACAGGAGCGATGATAGTGAGCATCCTTGTCTTGTTCCAAGACACATTGTTATTAATTCCCCTCAAAATACACCAGCTCACCTCAAGTGCATTTATCCCATCATTCTTTCCACTCTCTGAAGCAGTTCTGGAAGTTCTCTTTGCTGAGTGTCCTTAAGAGATATTATTAAAAGTACAGTGAGGGTTACTGCTAAGCCCCAGTGGGAAAGCAGCCTTGTAGAAGCATTATATGTGTCCTTACCCATCTTATTCATCAGACCTGGCACAGTAGAAATTTTGACTCTTCCCCAGAATCAAAATGGTCATGGACAGAAAGTGTTTTGCATCGATGCAGGAACAAGGCAACTAAAGACACTCACAGAACAAAATTTCAAGAACTGCCTCAGAAAGTGGCAAGCACAATGGGATGAGTGTGCTTGAAGTGAAAGGGAGAATTTTGGGTTTCATGTCACTGTGTCTTTCACTATAATAAAATTTCTAAAAATTTAAATATTCAACATAGTCTCCAATCACACTTTATATAGAGCTAAGGAAGCCTGAGGAAAATGTAATCATGAAGGAAAGGAGCCCCCAAATTTTTCGCTATGTTCCTTAGACACATAACTGCTTTAACTAGGGGCTTAGGGTAATAGGAATTTTTCAACAGCAGGAACTTTGCAAGTCATAGAAGAAGAAAACTTTCACCATTACTAACAATCTAAACTGACTGCAGACCTTGTAAATAAAATGAACGTTCTCCTCAGATAGAACTCAGGGCTAATTAGGTTAAAAGCTTACATAACTGTAAGATGTAACACACAATAAGCAGCCCTCGAGGCTTACTGCATTTCCCCTGATTATAATACACTAGCCAGGAGGTCTGAATAAAGCAGAAATATTTTTTAGTTTGTTAAATCTTCCTGTAGGTTAAAGTCATGATGTTTTATTTCTAACCACTTAAAATATATAATATTTTATCTGAAATTATTTTGGAAATATTTTACTAAAGTAATCACTGAGAACCTGAAATTGGAACCACTGTCATTTTCTGAAATAGTGAAGAACTGGATAATGTGCAAATGGAGATTGTGGGTCATCAAATCAACAGCACATATTGTAAAGAAATTATAATTGTTAAAATGTTGTGGTAACACATGGAAATATCTAAAACAGTAAATTTAATGGTATATTGTACATACTCTGGCTCTAAAATACATTAGCACATGGACTAGAATTATAAAAAAATTACTAAGCATTGACTCAAGTGATAGTGGATGACCATTTTCTGTATCTCCCACTGTCATCATAGCCATGTTCCATCACAAGCTTCTAACATTGCTTAGTTCTCTTTCCATCTGCAGCCATGGTTAAAGGAAATGAGACAGAAGCCACTGACTTCACACTCCTGGGCTTCTTCCCAGAATTCAGACACATCACAGCGCTGGTCTCCAGCATCTTCCTGACCTACACAGCTGCCTGCACTGGCAATGCTCTCCTGGTCGTACTCATCTGGCTGGACCCCCGGCTGCACACCCCCATGTACTTCCTGCTCAGCCAGCTCTCTGTAATGGATCTTACTTTGGCCACCAGCATCATCCCCAAGATGCTCGCCAACTTCTTTTCTGGAGGGCGGAACATCTCATTCCTGGCTTGTGGGGCCCAGATTTTCTTCTCCCTGACGGTAGCCATTGCAGAATGCATCCTCATAACATTCATGTGCTTAGATCGCTATGTGGCCATCTGTAAACCCCTCCAGTACGCAGTCATAGTCAGCCCCAGGGCTTGTCTGCAGATGGCTGTCCTGGCATGGGCTGGAGGGGCCCTCACATCCCTGGGCCACACTGCTTTCACCTTACACTTCCACATCCGCAGCCCCAGGGAGATCCCCCACTTCTTCTGTGAAGTCATGGCAGTCCTCAGGATAGTCTGCGAGGACATCTCAGTCTATGAGAAGGCTGTGGTAATGACCAGCATCCTTGTTCTGCTGCTGCCCTTGTCACTCATCTTGTCCTCCTATGTTGTCATCTTTCTGACCGTGCTCCGAATGAGCTCCCTGGAAGGCAGGAACAAGGCGCTGGCCACCTGCTCCTCTCACCTCTGTGTTGTGGGGCTCTATTTTGGTCCTGGGATGTTTATCTACATGAGACCTGGCTCTGCCAAGACTCCAAAGCTGAATCAGGCCTTGTTTCTGTTTGGAACGGTCCTGACCCCTTTCCTGAACCCACTAGCCTACAGTTTCAGGAACAAAGAAGTTCTCAATTCACTGAAAAAGTTAGTGAGGTGGAGTAGGGAAAGAATTATCACTGTAAGTTGAGGAAAACACAGAGGTACACCAATGAAGAGATATTTTTCAGTTAAACACTAACCTCTCAAGATCTTGAAACACTTGATTAATCTAGAGTCATACTTCAGAAAATACATGATGATCGATTTCCTCTCTGTGTCCTGGTATTTTCATACAAATGTAGTAGATGATATTCTGATGAGGGATGAGAACTATGTCTATCAAGAAAAAGCATCCTTGGTGTCTGCACCCTAGGAACTCAGAACTCTACCTACACACAGAGCATTGGTTCCTCAGAATGCTCCCTGGTTAAAGGAATGGGGAGGGTGGTAGATTATGAAGAATCAAGTAAATTGGCCACCATTGTTTTCTCTTACGTTAATTTCTCGTTTAGTTCTCCACATGAGTGAAGTCTTCGATCTGTAGCAGTACTTCCATCTAGTGCTTCCTGATCACTTGCATTAGACAGTTGTGATCTTCACTAAGAACAGCAGCTTTGGTCTCATTTCAGAGCTGTAGAGTTGTAGTCTGTGGTGTGAATCTCAGGGGTCTGGCTGCTGGCCATTGACTGATTTTTCACAAGTCAAGGGATGTGAACCACTGACCTATGTGTTCACCTATTTACTCTTCTAGACCAGCTTAGCAAACTAATTTATCAGTCAAGAATTTTCCTGTCTCTTTATAATAGAGAGGTAGGGTGGGTTAAGACAGCAAAATATTGGTATTTGCAAAAATAATAGAGAATAAATTTTCTTTGTGTTTTGAACAGCTCATTAATTTAAAATTTGAGCACAAAAAATAAGTAAATGGAGATTTTTTAGAAAAGAAACAAATTCATTGTAAAGACATGGATGATTAAAAATATAAGGTAGTATAAGATTTGAAGCAAGATGCATTATAGGAATTTCCAAAAATTGCTGATTCCAGTTGTTCTATTTCATTCACAATATCTATTGTAAATTTTGGATCTTATTACATTTTCAATTTTTTTTACACTAGGGAAAGAAGAAAAAGAAGAAGGGAAAAGATTATATGCATATGTGTGTGTGTGTGTGTGTGTCTAAGTATGCATAGATAACTGTAAGTTATCAATCTCTGTAAGTTAACCAAAAAGTAAAGTTTGTGCTTTCATTATTTGATTATCTGATCATTTTTTTCAGGCCTAAATCTTGTAATCTGAGCAACTACTTCTAAAACCACAATACGCAATATATTAACTAGTGCTAATTTTCTAATTTTTTTGAAATTCTGTATCATTTCTATGTTTTGGTTTTGTTTTGTTTTGTTTTGTTTTGTTTTTAAAATAAAATTTTTAAATATTCCCATATCACAAAAACCTGAGTATTCTATACAGGTAAAAAAAAAAAAAAAAAGTACTAGGACTAAGCACAGATGGTTTTTGTTGACTGAGTGAAGCAACAAGAAAACCACTTTTTAAGTGAAGGGAAAACACTCAAAAGGAGCCCTAACATTAACATATGACATGTTCCCCTTTAACATCCACAAAGCTGAGGGTGGCAAAGTTCAAGGTTTGATAAAATTTACTTTTAAGTGGAAACTTTTAAACTGTGTATATGTGTTGTGCCTAACATGTTGTCTTGAAACTTGTGCATCATGTACTTAATACATGGAGATAACTGACCTCCACATAACTCACATACTTAAATGTTTGTTTGACAAGAATGCTTAAAAATCCACTTCCAGACGAAGGCTCCACCATGTGGATCAGCCTCCATCATGTGGATCAGTCAGAAGACAAAGCACACTTTCCCCTGACCAAGCCAGTGTGTGAGCTAGGAAACCAAAAGAGCATCCCCTCCGACTCCACCACAGTAAGCAGCTGGCTGATTGGGAGGACGCAGGGTGAGGTGACAGCAACTGAGCAGAAGGCACAGCTGGATGCCTGTGTAGTTCGGTAGGCTCTGCAGGCCTGGGGCTGGGGGTCTGAGTGTCTACCTGGAGGACGGGGTACGACTGTGTCAGTGTGGGGGTTTCCTCCTGTCTTGCTTTTGAAATCCAAAGTTTTGTTCCATTTTCCTGTTTTGTTTTATACCTGTATCTGGTAACTTGAGCGGCGATTTTGAAGATAGCAATGTGCAGTGTCACGACCACTGTTACATTCCCATCATCTTGTTTTAAAAATCTACGTAGCTGTTGTTTTGTTGGGGCTTAGGGTTAGTATAAATTTTAGTATGTTTTAAAGTCAGGTAAGATGGTATATCCAAATTTATTATTTTTGCTAATGATTGCATTGGCTATTTGGGTTTTTTATGTGGTGAGTATAAATTTTAGGATTTTTTATTTCTAGGAAAACCGTCATTTGAATTTGTGTAGCACTGTGAACTTATAGTTCATGTATATTAATACAGACATTTTAGCAATATTAGTTTTCCAATTCATCACCAACATCTTTCTATTTGTGCATCTCTTCCTCAATTACCTTTATCAACATTTTATAGTTTCCAGAGTATATATTCTTAATCTCTTTGATGGAAGTTTTCTAAGTACTTTTATAGTTATGACAAATAGGGTTGATTTCCTTTTGAACAGTTGATGGCATATACAAATTACACTGATTTTTATATGCTAGTCCTATGTCTGTGCATTGTACTTTATTAATTCTAATTCTTTGATGACATCATTGTAAAATTTTATCACACAAGATCATTTCTTCTGCATACAATGACGTTATTTCTTCCATTCCAATTTGAATGCTTTGTATTTGATTATCTTGCCTAATTATTATTTCTAGGACTTACAGGACTCTGCTACTAGATGTAACAAGAGAAACCACCTTGGGTTTTTCCTGTTTTTTTTTAAAGCTTTCTGTTGTAATTTTTAATTATTGAATATTATGTTAGACTAATTTGTCACATGTAACTTTATTGCATTGAAATATATTACTTCTGCACCTACTTTGTTGAGAGTTTTCATCACAAAAGGGTGTTGAATTTTGTCCAGTGATTTTCTGCCTTTATTGGAGTTACTATATCATCTCTACCCTCCATGCATTAATAGGGTTTAGCACACATTCGTCCTGTGTGTGTTAAATGACTTGCATCTCAGGATAAGTCTCCTTCGGCTGAAGTGAGTGAGCAGCACAACACATTGCTGCACTAAGTGTGCTGCTCTGTAATGAAGATGTCTGCATCTGTCGCACAAGGGACACTGATCTACAGTTTGCCTTTCTTGTAGTGCCCTTATCTGGCTTTGGTCCCAAGGTAATGCTGGACTCAGAAAATAAGTTTAAAATGATTCTCTGTCCCCTTTTCAAGTTTTTGCAAGAGCTTGGGAAGCAGTTGTCTTATTTCTTCTCCAAATGTTGATATAATTCAGAATTGAAGACATCTATTCCTGGGAGACATTTTATTGCATGATTCAATGCATTAGTCTGTTTTTATTTTCTGATGTTTTTATCATTCAGACTTGGCAAGTACTCAGTCTCCATTAATTTATGCCTTTCTTCTAGGTTGCTCAAATTGTTTAAATATAAATTTTTATATTAGTCCCTTCCGATCCTTTTTATTCCTGTGGTATCAGTTGTAATGTTTCCTTTTCACTCCTTTTTTAAAATTAAGATTTTAATTGTACAAATATATAGGTAGTGTGACAATTTTATATATGTGTAATGATCTTATATATTATTTTTATTCTTAGCATTTTCTCCCCTTTTATGAGTGTAACTAAATGTTTGTTAGTTTTATCTTTTTTAAAAAAACATTGATCATTTGTGTTGTTTTTCAAAACTTTAAAGATTATATCTAATTTCCAACATGGCAATGAAATAAAATGTTCAAAAGTTCTAAGAGAAATATCTTAGGTTGTGGAAATCTGAGTCAAGATGAGGTCCTGTGGATTTCCCCTGAAGCTATGTCATGACACTCTTTATTGAAGAATGGAAATGGACTCCCAGCTCTTGCAAATTCTGGACCCTGCTGTGAAGCCATCGCAGGCCACATAGTGCTGCCACAATGCTCTAACACTTAAGAATGGGCTGCACACTACAGTACCCAGTGCTGATTCCATAGTGTCATGGTGTGAAATCCAGCAATACAATTATTCTTTGTTCGGAGTGATTTCAGCCTGTTTGTTTTGTTTAATTTTAACATACATGAAAGGATGGACATCTATTTTGAAGAGAATGTGACAGCCATTGTTGACTTCCCTGTTGTCTGGCCTTGAAGACCTAAAACACCTTCCTCATCTTGTTCAGAGGAGTTCTATACTATGTTGTTTCATGTGAATTCTCTGTATGTGAAGATATGGTCAACTATTCTGAAGAAAACAATAGACAAAATGATAGATAGTGAAGATCTCTGATTGTCTTGCTTTGAAATTTATGCCTTTTACATTGCTTTCTTATGTTCTGTCTTGTTCTGTTCTGTTGTGTTCAATTTTACCCTTTTTAAAATTAAAAAAAAAAGAATGGGCTGCAGAAAAGATTGGGTTTGAACAACAGCACCAGGAGGGAAGCACGAACTGATCAATAAGAAAGATGATGAAAGATAACTGATGAGTTTCCACTTTTAAAATATAGTTTCATGAAGCAAGTTATTTAAATTTGGCATTTTAATTAATGGTTTTATTTTATACAGAAGTTATAGAAATAAACACTTCAACTTTCTGAAACTCTCAGCAAAGAATTATTTAAATGTGTCTCATGAAAATGGCCATACTCCCAAAACTGTTATACAGATTTCATGCAATTTCAATCATTAGCATCCCTGAAAGATCTACAAAAATTCATCTGGAACAAAAGAGACCTAGAATAACAAAGGTAGTCCTGGGCAACAAAGGCAAGGCAGGAGGCATCACAATCCCTGACTACAATTATACTACCAAGCTGTTGTGATAAAATCACACGGTACTGGCAAAAAAAAATAAATAAATAAAACAGACCTGAGGATCAATGAAACAGAATAGAAGATACAGACACAACTACAAACACACTAGTCACCTTATCTTTGATAAAAGGGTCAAATATGTTCACTAGAAGAAAGATAGCCTAGCCTCTTTAATAAGTGGTGCTG